TTTTGCCTAAACTTTTGATATTACAGGTAAATTGAGAAATATAAAGCAAAAAATCATGCATTAACTTGTTTTTTTTTTCCGCTGACCCACATTTTCAGTAACTTAAAACTTTTGAACAGTCGATAAATTTGAATTAAAACAATAAGACTAAAATTTAGTAAGACAGCCTAAAAGTCATTTGCCTAATTGATAAGTACAATTTTAAAGCATTCAAAGAGGAAAAAAACAACAGCAGTTTTTAATAGCTTTTACGTTACACATCAAAATACACTACTATTTGGCTTTGTTCTTTTTCTTCTATTTTTTTGTCGATAGAACGACAACAAATTAAACTGTTGATGCTATAAAAAGTACTTCTTTCTGAGTTGGTGTTGATAGCATAAAAACAAAAAGAAAATAGAAAATAAAGATCAAAAATAAATCTGTTATCAACATTATTTATTTATAAACAAAAGGTGTTCATAAAACAAACAAAAAATTAAATAAATAAATAAATAAAAAGTATAATAAACTTTTTTTCTATTGACTTTTTAGGTTTTATCATTTCTTTAAACAGACAAACGGGTGACTACGACGTTAGCCCAATGTTTTGCCGTTGCTGAGAGATTTAAAGAAGAAGACAGAACTGATCAAAAATCAACAACAACAAAAAAAAACCCGAAAAGCTGTAGCGGTCGTTTATTATAAACAATACCTTTCAGCTGGTGAACTTTTTTCAATGTACGAAATAAACAGTGGTCGATGTTGATCGTCTGATGGTCCGATACCTTGTTGCTTGTTCAGCGATAACCCGTAGACACCTTTGGCATAGCTATGAAGTACCACTTCCATGGTTTCTGAATGGCATACTTCGCCATTGGGCACAGTTGTTAACGAACCATGCATTGAACCTGAAAAAACATTGCTCATAAGATACTGCTTCTTTGAATGATAAAGTAAAAAAAAAAAAAGATTACAACAAAAATAACAGATTATTAACTGATTAGAAACAGAATCATCAAAAAAAAAAAAAAAA